ACGGTACACGTGTAATGATGGTACGCATAATATACACAGAAAACAATGTATAAGAAATTTTCCAGAATTACAAAACAAAAGCGTAAGAAGAGAATTCAAAAAAAAGTAGCGGTGAAAAGTGCGACGTACGTAACGGGAATGTATTTCAACAACTACCGACCGATGATCTCGGGAAGGAATATAGAAATGACATCACACATTGAAATGCAAATAAAAAAACGCGACACCTTCGAGACACCAAGTTTGGATTTCGAGGGAGCACGCACGGGAAACAATGCATGTCGCTTTTTAAATCATGCGTAACGTCTTAATAATTGGGTGACCGTAATGGTGTATAAGTACACGGGGTGAACAATTAAGATTTTAAATAATAAAAAAAATAGCACTCACCAGTCTACAAAACGCCAAACGTAGTAAAAAAAAAAAAAGGTAGTAAAAAAAAGGTAAGAAAAAAAAAAAGTACAAATTTGTGTATAAGTTTTATTGTTTCACCAGAAAAATCTTTATTAATATACTTTTTAATACCATTGCTAATGCCAAAATGATGATATACTCCTGGAGGTACTGTTTTTACTTGGACAGGTAGATTATAAGAAATATTGGAGTGAGTCTGTTAAAGTGTTCTAGCATCAACAGGAAAATTACTAAAACATGTATGCTCTTTTCAAATTTTTAATAATTCTGAAAATGTATTATTTGGTACATTATGATCAATTGCCCACTCAACTAATTTACTTGTTTCTGATTTTGTGTCTAACCTAACCTAACCTAACCTAACCTAACTTGTTTCTTCTTCATTGCCATTTTCATCACTATCACTTTTACTTTTAAAATTTTAAAATTTATTTATTGGTTCCAAGAAGTTATCTTTTTTATTCAGATTTTAGTTGTTATTTGAATTGTTTAGGATAAAAGAGATATTTTTATCAATTTTTTTAAATTCAGGTGAACTAGGACTATTGTTTGAGCATTCATATGATTGATTGCTTTGAATTATTTCATTATTATAGTCACCCTCGGCTAAATGTTTAAGCAAATTCAGTTCCTCGATTACTCTTCTATGTTTTATAGATTTACTCATACAGTTATTACGATGCATTATAATTACTAATTATATTCCACAAGAGGTAATTAAAATATAGTTCCTTACAGTATACATAACAAAAATATATCGATGTATAAGTTATAATTTAACTATCATAATTTACAATACTTACAATTCGTCGGTAGTTTTATTATATTCCAATAATTTAATGCAAGCAGCACACGTTATATTATATTATAAATCAGACACAATAAATAATAACACTGAATTTTAATAAAATAATAGCGGAATGACAAGCTCTTCACGCGTGGCCAAACGTTTCACCACGATAGTAAAAATATGTTTGCACTTATAGGTACCATAATAAATATTATAAGAGCAAATAATATATAATATAATATTATTATACGCGGGGTTTTATAGCTGCAGGCTCGCATATAATATATAATATGTATTATTATTATATAATAGCTGTAATCCCAGGCAAAGATATTTTTAGATATTGACTGCAATTTAATTTTAATATCGATATGATATTATTTTGATATAAATTATAAAGTTATAATATATATAATAATTATGATTATTATATTTTGTATACAAAAAAATAGTTATAATACTAATGTTCCTTTAACAATATCTTTGACATAATAATTTCTTGTTTGTCAGGACGTGTCTTTTTATTTAATACATCCATTTTATTGTAGGTATCAATTTCTTTAACCAAAGGTTCAATTTTATTTAATCCTTCCATTCTGTATTATAGAAAATATTAAATTTTTCACATTCAATTTTTTAATAGAATAATTTCTCTTAAAAATATCATTTAAAATTTAGGTTTTAGTAACTCTTCGTTATAAAAACTCCCTATAATCTCTTCATTGTTTAAATCTATAATTTTATAGTTAATATGATTTGTGTTTAAAATTTCATTAACTATAAATATTTCTTTTGTCCAATTATTAATATATTTATTACCAAATGTTTTTATTCTTACTATATCACCTACACTAAATTTAACTAAAGGTTCAATTTTATTTAATCCTTCCATTCTTTATTATAGAAAATATTAATATTTTACATTCAATTTTTTCAATTTTTTCAATTTTTGTATTGCAATTTTATTATAATTTTTTTTTTTTTTTTAGATTTTTCGTCATCTGTTTTAGATATGGACCCCTTTGGAGCTTCAGTAAGTATATTTTATTTATTTGTTAATTGTCATTTCATGTGACTTTTCATGGTTTTTTTTTATTCAGACTAGTAGTGCAGGCCAAGATTTTGGCGGTTTCGGTAATGAATCCGTGAACGTAAGTTTATCACGTATATCTAATAACTTTTTTACTCGCAAGTTCATGGTCCATGTTTGTGTTGATATTTGTTTATGAATTTTGATTTATACAATTTTACGTTTTTTAGGAATCTCAACCTGCCGGTACCTCAGCCGCAGCAGATAACCAAAATTCATCTAATCGTCCGCTACCTGGGGTAAGTGTCATTTTGATATACATTTTTTTGTCCATTACCCATTTCCACATCACCCTAGTTAGGTTAAGCATATTTATTTCTATCATGTTTTTAAAATATTTTTGGTTTGTTTTGGTATTTTGATGGTTTTAGGGGATGTTTTTTGGGGATTGTTAAGATATTTTTAGGTGATGTTTTCAAGGTCATCATTTTAGATTAGGGGATGTTTTAAGGGATGATTTTCCAGGTTGTTGTGTTTGTTTGGATATTTTTTCAGGGTCATTATTTTAGATTCTGAGCGGAGCGACGAATGTATTGATATTTTACAATGATGTGTTTTTTTTTTATTTTTGTGTTTGTCATCACCTTTTAGGACAGTAAAAGTGTTCGGATCTTCTTCAACGGTAACTTTTCTGATAGGAAAGTGAATCTAGTTGTTACTTTGGGGGTAAAAATTAAAAATTTCCCGGTATTTTTCAAAAGCGACGTGAAAAACAAAAGAAATATTAAGAAAAACGGAAATTTTTACGCAAAATCTATTTTTAACTTAAATTTAATTTAAATTTGTTTTTTGGTGTAACTCTATATTAAATGACTATACATGACGATGCATGACATTTTCACTGGTTGTTTTTATTTGTATTTTCTATACACGATAAAATTTTGAAAATAATATGACTCTTTTTGAACTGTTTACGGACATTGTCAGTTTTCAATTTTTTTAGTTTTTTTTCTATAAATATCAATTCAATTTTATTTGTTGGTTAAAAAAGCTTGAAAATTTAATAGAAGGCTCCTAGGTTATTGTTTCAAAGGCAGATTAATAAAATTAAAAATCCTTAGTCATACTTTTTTTTTATAAGCGTTTAAAGTTTAAATCTTGACAAAATACGGAAAAATCACGAAAATTAGCAAATTACTTTGAGTTGAGATTTCGTTAACATTTTTTTTTTAATCTAAGATGTGAAAATGTAATACAAGATTCCTCATAAGTTTTTCTACCTTTAACAAAAAAAAAGTCTACAAGAAAGTAAAATTAAATTTTTATGAGCGTTTGAAATTAACATTTTTACAATACTTGATATTCACTCGATTTTTCATGTATTGTTTTTCTTATTTTATTGTAATTAAAAAGCGAATGACTCCTGATACTTGACAATTTTACTGATTGTGTATATTAGCATTTTCTATACACGATAAATTTTTTAAAATAATTTGAATATTTTTGAGCTGTTTACGGTCAGTCAGTTTTAAATTTTTTTAGTCTATAAATATCAATTAAATTTTATTTGTTGGGTAAAAAAGCGTGGAAATTTAATTTAAGGCTCCTAATATAATGTTACAATGGCAGTTGAAAAATATTAAAAATACATGGGCACACATTTTTTTTATAATCATTTAAAGTTCAAATTTTGACAAAATGTATCAAATTAAAAATGTAATAATTATTTTGTGGTTAAAAATGTATAAATTTCTCAACTTTTATAGTTAAGGATTGAAAATTTAAAACAAGGTTTCACGTGAATAGGTTATATATAATTTACTTTGAAGTTATTTGAGATGAGCTAAATGATTTGTTTTGACTATCACATGTGTTGTATGGGAACCAACAACATGTTGGGTTTCTTAGCCATATAATGGGAACATGAATTATGTCATTGGTTTTTGTAAACAACACGACATTCCAACTTCTAAAATTCTATAACATAAATGGTGATATTAATATATTTGTTATATATTTTCTATATTTTTATAATTTATATTAATATAATTATAGTGTAATATATTATATTGTATCAAATTAAACAGAATAACTTTAATAATAATTTAAAATTCAAAATTAAACTAAACAATATCAAATTGAATTTAAAATATTACCAGGTTACTTAAAATCAATAGTCTATAATATAAGTATTTACAAATTACAATATACATTTTATACATTTATTCTATGTAATATTATGTGTGTACTTATACTGTGTACCTATACAGTATTTCTGAATACCTATATTTTTTGATTAAGTTATATCTAAAAAATATTATGTACCTAATATTATATCATAATGATTATTAAAGTTATATATATAATTACTTATATATTATAATATGTTCATATATAAATTTGCGACATGATCCAAGTATAAATCCATATATATGTAATACTAAAATAGATATGTTTAAAATGACTATTAATGAAGAAGGTTTTTTACAATAAATAAATATATATACAAATAAAAGTTCAGAATTAAATAGGTACTTTAAATAAAAATAGGAAGGTGTACTAGTAAAAATAATAAAAATGGATGTGCTTGTTTTTAAATGTATGTATAATTATTGCAAGTGCAACAATGGCTAAATTACAAATCCTATACTATTGGTGATCGGTAAACGCATCATTTTTTATTTTATATCAGTTATTTTCCATGACTGAAGATGAACAACTTGTGTTGCTTTTAGTATATTCAATAAACTAGAAAGGCATGGTTTATCAAAAAAAATCTGAAAGCTTATCATACTTGCGTCCAATTATTATATCATTACCATCTAATTTTGATGTAGCAATGTTTTCTATGACAACTATATCATTATTTTTCATTTTTACACAATTATCACAATTATTTAGTTTTAAAATAAACTGTTTTGTCTTCCAGCCAGTGAACTGCGGTTTATTAGCAGCATCTAGAGTAAGTGGCCTATTTTTTAATTTACACTGACTATTGAAAGGTCCTAATACATTAGGATTATGTACAGGCTGTTCACTTTGTAACATGTTTTCCTCGGTATATCGCCTTGCCAGTTGTTGTAGCGGCTTAACTCCGTTTTTATTTATTTTTTTAATGTTTGCATATAACTTTCAAAAGGAAAAGCAGAAAAGTTATTAATAGACCCAAATTTTTTTGCGTCATCGGCTAAATGCTAAACTTCATAAAATGATCATAGACTTCATTACTGATAATTCCTTGAAAAACCACCATCCCAGTGTACATAAGTGTTTGTCTCAATTCGGTTGCTTTCCAACGGTTAGAATCACGAATAGGGGGTTTTCTACTGTTTTCGTTAGGTGATCGTTGAAATTCATCAGGGATATATTGGCCTACTTTGTTTAATCTATCATCTAGTATGGATAATAAATTACTTGGAAGATTTAGATGGTGTCTTTTGATTCCTCCTATCCTAAATCTTAATATTTTATTCATCATACCGATGCATGAACAATGCATAAAGTCAAATGGAATTGAACTAATTATATCAAATTTGGGTATCCGTGTAAAAATAGTTTCTCCACAATGAAATTCTGGGTCAGAATAGGATACAAAGTAATCATGGTTTCCTAATGACGATGATCCATCAGGAAAATATACACTTTTGTTCTCATTTGACCATAAGCCGAGTGTTTGACACCGTAAACATGAATGTTTGCCAGTATGGCCCTTAATATTTAATATAAAGGACTTTGCTGGCGTCTCACAAATTACAGCAGCAAGTTTATAACATTAGTTTGTTTATTATTATGAACAAAACCAACATTGATGGGTTCACACAATTCATCAATAAAGTCCTTTAAGTATTCATTAATTCATTACAATCATTTGGTTTGGTTTTGCCATAATATGCACCAATTATAAAAACTTTTGGTTTCTCTAAATGTAAATTTGAAAAGTACCTAACCAAGTATTGGTCACATCTGGCTAGGTGGATTTTTAGATATGGGTAAGCCATCAATAATGTTGATGGCAAAATGTTCATATAGCTTAAATAAATATTAAATCTCATTTCTTATTCCAAAATGGTAGTATTCACCACCGGTAATGGATTGTAATGATATAGTTTTTGATGTGTTTTATAATGTACGAGCATCTTTAGGTAGATTAGTAAATATATGGCACTTTGATGAACTAGTTAGTAAATCATTCAAAGCAGACTGTGGTATACTGTGGCGAATAGCCCAACATGAAATTATTTTTTCTGGATCTTCACTAGTAGGTAGTTACTACAAGGTACATTATTATCACTACTTGAGTCAGAACTACTAAAATTTTCGAAGCTGTTAAAAGGTGTATTTGAACTAACATCTTCATTGTGTACAAATGTATTTAAAGTAGGTGTGTGGGATGTTGAAGAATGAGATAATAATGTATAACAATCATCGTTTCTTCACTACTCGATGAAAATAGACTAGCAACAGATATGGCAGCTCTTTTCCGTTGGCGGTAGCGAGTTGACTTTGACCTGCATTAATATATTGGTTCCCAATAAAATAATGAATATATTTAAATACAATATGGCGAGTGTATTATGATAATATATAGGTACCTATTCTGTATTATTTTTATTAGGTATTTATAAAAATGTATGTATAAATGAAAATATGATAAAATATAATATATGTATAAATATGGATGTTTTTAGTTAATACTATAATTCATTGTTACTCATAATATGGCAATGTCACGGTTGGTTACAGATGGGAATTAAAAATTCAAGAAATGATGATAAGTAGGTAGGTAGGTAGATATTTAATGATATTATTTATTCTGTAACATATTATGATGATATACATACGTTTACGGGATAAGATTAATTATTTTTAATAGTAAAATTATAAACCATATTATTTGAAATACATATAAATATATTAAATATATTGTCCATGACTTAAACTTTATTATGTTCACCTTCTTAATTCAACAAGCTTTTTTATATCAAAACAGATGATGAAATATATGTTATAATCATATAAAATAATCCACAACATAATTTGCTTATTATTTATTGGTGTAAGAGCTAGTAGTAAATTATACATGTTATACCGACATAACTACTTATAATATTTTAAGCATGATAAAAAAATCAATTTAGTATAGTTATTTTAATAATGATATACACAGTACATATATGATATTTATATTATACACTTGTTAAATTCAATGATAAATCAATATTTTATTATTAATTATTATAACTATTATTACAATTATTATATACTTCCGCCATGATTATGATGATTATTGATGCTCGGATTGATGAACTACATGTAACACGTCTTATTGCAAGCGAACAAATTTTCATGCATATATATTGGGAATTTTTTTAGCAAAGACTATTAATAAGCTGATTCGATGTAATATTTTATCAGGAGTGCAGTGTCGGTTAAACGGGCAGCGAATGGTTGGCATAATGTTCTATAACACGGTGTTTTGAACACTGTCTCTGAACTTCACAACAGTGTTAAAACATTTTTCCTGAACCGTTAAATTTCTGTCGGTGCATTTACATTTTCTCTGCACCGTTCAATGTCAGAAACACCTACTCTGCACCACAATAAAAATAATATAATAAATATATTTTGTTAAAAATTACCATCAACACTTTTATTGAACCACCATGGTTTTATTAACATAGATCTCACACTGTGTATGAACAGTTAAAAAACTACAGTGTTCGTAAACCGACATTGAATGTTTAAGTTGCTACTCGGGTAATATCATAGGCTGACTGACCGTTTTCGCCCATAATCGTTTTTCCACCTTTTTAAATTTATTGTGGAGTATAGTGTTTTGTATAATGTTTTTAAATTTAAATTAAAAGTTTACCGCACTTACGGTGAAGGATATCCCGAAAATGAATCCGGTTGAGGTTGACGTCGATAGCGTTGTGTACGGTTTTTCATCGCTATCAGCGTATAAACCCAACATGCCATTCAACGTCAATCTAACCGGAGACTGTTTACCGTGCTAGAACACGAAGATGCTCCAGGGGATATTCGGCGTGTCTCGGAAGAGTAAGTATGGACGTTTAATCGAGGTTAGGTTAGGTTTATTAATTTGTTTTAATTTTATAGCCTACTTTCACATAGAGTTCACCCTAGGGGGCGAGCCGCCCATTAGGGTGTTGATCAGTGTCCCGAAGGGACTTCGTTCTACCGACATGTCTTCGGACTCCTCGGAGGACGAGGTCGAAACGGAACAGGTCCAATGTTTCGATTATAGGAAGTATTTCCTAGACACAGTTCTGGGCCCAGCTATCCTCAAGTTGGGCTCAGGATGTCGTAGTAGGAGGAAGGGGGCCGGCAATCCCTTTAGCAGTAAGTGGCACCTCCACCCCGCCGACTGGCCGAAGTTGGCATTCGAGGTGGAGCGGTTGACCACCGAAGCCGGCACGTTTGGGAGTTTTTTGTAAGTGTCATCTTGTGTATTTCTTTTGTATTTTCCTTAGTGTAATTGTACATTAATTTATTTAATTGTAGGTTTTACGTTGCGCTGCATGGGTTGCAGATGCCCCAAGATGCAGCCCTGGGCCTCACCACGCATCCATTGTAATTGTTCAATGCCATTTTGGCGTCGAATTTACAATGAGGTCGTCGGTGAGGGCCGTTCTTGTGGACCGGCATGTAGCCCAGGCGTTGCTGGGTGGAGTGAAATTTTACCCTGGTCTTGGTGTATTTGACTATGGGTATTTTACGGCCGACCGTGTAGCTAAATCCCATCAAGTAATTTTTTTCTTTTAAATTACCTACTTAATGTTGATTTTTAACGATTGTTATTGTATGTTGTAGCACCTTCTCCCTAAGTGCTGTTACGTGCAGGCGTATAACCCCGCGGTGCACATCCTTCGCCGCGGTCTCAATGAAACATCCGTGTTCACGTGGCTGTTGTTGGGCGGTGATAGTTGTCGGGAAAGCCGAATGGCTTCCCTACGGCCTATCGGCAACTGTGCCGCCCAATTAATCGCCGCGTACAGGGCGTTTCTGAGGGACGCGGTGCGGGGCTTGGGCGTCCGGTTCGAGTGTGTGGTCAGTGGTGACACATCGTGTGAGGTGTTGTCGCTGATGGCCACATACGGAACTCGGATGTCCGAGTTCTGTGTCACTAACGGGTTGCTCGTGTGTTCAACGAAGGATTGGCCTTACTACGTCAATTCCTTGATGTTGAACACACTGAGTCAGCTTGTGGACGTTGTCGAGAAGTTGCAGACGGCCAACTTCCACAACCATGTAAGTTTATTGCGTGTTTATCTTTACTGGGGTAGGTTAGGTTAATGTTTTAATTATGTTTTTGCTGTTGTAGTTGCTAGCCACCGTATATGACGCAGAACTGATGCTCAGGTTCTGGGCATTTGGCGAGGCGAGGTTCCTGGACCACAAAAGGGTTTCCGCCATATTCCCATGTCGGCAGTTGGCCCCCGGGAGCAGGAAAAAGAGTCGGCGGGACGACGATGGATTCGTCCGGTTTGTCCCCTCACTGGCCGGAAATTTCAACCGGGTAATGCCGGGTGAAATTTTCGGGCACGTACCAGTTGGTCCGTTCGTGAGGGTCATACTGGCCGAAGTATTTTCGTCCCTCACCGTCGACTTGTTGTGTTGCCCGGCCGAAGAAGTAAGTTTTTGTTTGTGTTATTTTTGCTGTTTTTGCTAACATTTTAATACTCTTAATATAATATTTTATGTTTTTGCAGGCAGCAGAATGGTGGCTGACTACCGCCGCCAGAATGGTGGACGTCGAATGCGGGATGAGTACACCAGCGTCATCCGCTACGGCGTTCACCATAAAGCGGCTTGTTGTCGAGTACGGTCGTCGTAGTGTCACTTCGTTGGGTAGTCTCAATATATCTGGCACAGTGAAATACGCGACCGTACTTGATGCTTTTCAGCGGCCTAATGTGTACAGGCTGGCTATCCTGTACACTTTAGTGTCTCGCCGGTCTGACTTGGCTGATGTACTTATAAACTTGGAGTGCCTCATCAACCGGTATGTGGAAGTCATACCGGTCGTTTTGTTGATGGCAAATTCACATCGCCAGTTGTATGTATAATATTTACATTTGTTTTACGAATATTATATTAATTTATATTTTCTTTTTCTTTTTTAGAAGCGACTGGAGGTATGTGGCTGAGATTGACCCTCGCTCTAAGAGGGTCACGCAAACTCGCGCAGAGTTACATGAGGCTGGTGCGCCTCAGTCGCTCGTGCGCTTATGTTGATTTTTTTTTTTTTTTTTGTTTATCGCCAGTGCGATGACGTGGATTAGGCCTTCGGGGATACCACTTAAAAAAAAACTGTCGACGTGGGAACGTCCGTGGATTAGGCCTTTCGGGGGATACCACGTAAAAAAAAACAGTGGATTAGGCCTTCGGGGATACCACGTTAAAAAAAACTGTCGACGTGGGAACGTCCGTGGATTAGGCCCTTCGGGGGATACCACGTAAAAAAAAACAGTGGATTAGGCCTATTGGGGAAACCACTGTAAAAAAAACGCATCCTATATACCAGGGGTCACCAACTGGCGGACCGCGGTCCGGATACGGACCTCGAGCACTTTTTTTACGGACCGCACGCGCGTTTTCATTTTACATTGATTTAAACATATCAACGATTTAAATTTCAAACTACAAGGTAAAGGAAAATTAGTGTGCCATCTACTGTCAGAAATCAAATGTTTTTCAAGGAAAATGGATCTCTTTTGCGAAGATATAGAAAACGAACGTTTGCACTTTCCTAACTTAAATACTGTTTTTGATGACGCTGAAGATAATAATGATATTGATCTCAATCAGTTCATTAATTTTATAAAGAAACTTAAATCTGAATTTGAAGATAGATTTATTGATTTCAAAAAAATTAAGAATGTAGTGCAAATTTTGAATAATTGTTTTTCATTACATCCCAACGGCGAATGGAGTAGTGAAGCCACAAGCGTTTTTGGCTCTAATAAAGCTGCCCTACAGATGGAGATAATCGAATTCCAGGAAGACATGAGTTTAAAGGAAAAATTTACTCAAGTCACCAACACTTTACAGTACGATCAATTCTGGATGAAATACGTTTGTTCAAGTAAATACCCAGAACTAAAACGCCTGGTTTCAAAACTGTGTACAATGTTTGGATCAACATATGTTTGTGAAGCCGCTTTTTCTAAGATGAACTTTATTAAAAACAATTTCAGATCTCGGTTAACAGATGAACATCTTAACGAGTTAATGCAAATCAGTTGCACTAACTTCACTCCAAATATTAGGAAGCTCGTGAAAACTAAAAAATGCAATTTTTCACATTAAAAATTAAATATTTCAAGTATAATCTTTTTTTTTTTGTAAATTCAATTTAAATAAATAAATATAAATACAAATTTAAAAATGTATATACCTATTTATTAACGTGTGTAAAAGTCATTGAAACTGTTTGGACCGCGTAAAGTTTGGTAAGTTTCAAAACGGACCCCCATAGAAATTAGTTGGTGACCCCTGCTATATACTATACCTCACTGGGTGATGTGGAAATTAGTATTAAAACATTTTTGTGACCCTAGGTTTTGAATTCAAGTATTTATTTATTTATTTATTAATTTATTTTTATTAACAGATGGATTGGTTACTGACCGAGGAACAGTACTATGATAAAAGGAAGGCACACTATGCAGCCAACCCACCGAATGGACCGCTGCATAGATTTGATACCCGGGTACACTACCCATTCCGCGAGGCCTGCGAGCAATCTGTTCCGGATGTAGTGTACCGGATCGTGCCTGTCGGGACACCATCCAGAAAGCAGTTGTTCCAGTCAATTGTGTCCGAGGCTGGCGCACCTCCGGCGAAATTGGGCATGGACGTAGGGGCTGGGGTGCCTAAGAATCCCATTGTGAGCGATCTCTATGTTGACTGCGCTTCTGGTTTACCTATTTGTAAATTTTAATTTTTGCCGTATTCGTGTAGTCCTTAATAATTATTTTATTTTTAATTAAATTTTGTTTTTTTATAGCCAATGATGTCTCCCAGGTCCCCCAGTCACCTACGACCGGTATGTGGCATCATTTTAATTTTTTTAATTTTTATTGATTTCGTTTAGTCCAATAATTATTTTATTTTTTAATTTTAATTTTTTTCTAGTCATTGAAAGTCTCCTGAATCCCCAGACGCCGACGTCTGCTTTAGGTTTTAGCTTTCGTAACATTAGTGTCGTGTCGCCTGTGAAGTTGAAGTTTAGTATCGAGGAGGAGAGGACTTTGAGGCGTCTGATTGCAACCCAGGACCCGATACTAAACACCGCCGACGGATTAAGGAAGTTATTGAACACTCCAACCTTCAATCAAACTCCCAGATCCCTGAGTTCCATTAGGACCAAGGTGCGGGACCTGAAGAAGAAGTTGGGGTCATTAAATTCACTGTGAGGTTTTTTTTTTTTGTTATCCGTTGTTCGGTTCGTGGATTAGGCCCTAGGGGATACCACGTTAAAAAAAACTTCGCCGTTGGTTCGGTCGTGGATTAGGCCTTTCGGGGGATACCACGTAAAAAAAAACAGTGGATTAGGCCTATTGGGGAAACCACTGTAAAAAAAACGCATCCTATATACTGTACCTCACTGGGTGATGTGGAAATTAGTATTAAAACATTTTTGTGACCCTAGGTTTAAGGAAATATTATATAAATTAAATAGCATCTAATTTCTTATTCAGCAAATGTTCCTTTTGAGATTTTTGATGTATCTAAATCGTAATATTAATAATTTGAGTTGTATATAACTTTTTGTACAACCTCATGAGCGTTTTTTTTTTTTTTTTTTTTTTTTTTTTAATATTTTATTTTTTAAGCGAACTATGAGTATTTTAAAATTGTAAAGGTTAGGTTAGGTTAGGTTAGGTTAGGTTAGGTTCTCCCCCGACGGGACCCACCTTGACGTGGTGGGGGAGCTTGCGGGCCTTAAATGGCTTTACCAAGCGGTCCCATACCCGGCTGCGACCTTAACCAGTCGTAGTCGGAGCACAGAGAGCCGGTTTTTACCTTCACTGGTAGGGATCGGCAGGCTCGGAGCCAGCCTGCACACACTTGCAAAGGCTCTGAACCGGCCCTGACCTTAACCAGTTGGGGCCGGCAAGGTCGGAGGTAGCCTGCTCCCGGACGAGCAAAGCCCTAAGGGAAGGAAATCCCCGACAGAAAAACCAGGCTAGAACTGTCCTCAACAGTCTCCCAGGAGGGCGATCACCTCCCGAGACGCGGCAAGATCAGGACTCAACCGACCGGACAGAACGCAACGGGGGCCTGGCAAACCCTCGCCAAGGCACCGGCCATCTGCGGACGTGGCGTACCACAGATCACAAGCCGTTCGAAAGATGGATTCACAACATAAGATAAATTCTACCCCAGGTGGTGAACTGGCTAAGCCAGGGAATCCACTCTCCGAGGAGACAGGCCCCACGGATTCTGGGGGGGGCCAGCCATCAATCGTTCCCACAACGGTAATCACCGTAAACTCGAAAAAGAACACGGACAATGGAAAATCTGGAGACAACACGATAACGCGCGCACAAGCTGAAGCGAAGTATACCAAACTCTTGGGAGACACGCAGACTCATCTGGAAGCACTGGAAGCAGCAGTCCAAGCTGCGTCCAACACGAAACTGGACATCAAAAATGGAATTAGGGCCCTAGGCATATGCTTCAGGGAATTCCAGAACAGTGCAAGAATGATTGGGATGACCCGAAATCCGGATGCTACTGAACTTCGTGTTCGGAACTTGCAGCATCAGCAGCAAACCCAGCACGCGCAAACCACGAAGCTGATCAACACAATACGCGAAGAGCAACTGCAGCATCAACAAAGCATACTGCAGAAAATTGAAGAGCTGACCCAAAAGCAGCAAGTTGTAGATCACGGTGACGATATGCAGGGTTCTCAAGATAGGTTTAACAGCCAGGACGAACGGCTTGCATGTCAAGATCGCAAATTGGACAAAATAATTTCTGACATGGACCGAACACTTCGCCCACCGGCTGACATGCCACAACAACGGCAGCATCAGCAGCAGCCCGAGAAGCACCCTAAACAGGCAACCCTGCCCGTAAAACGGAAAAAACGGCAACCAAGTCAACAGGTACAACTGGAGAAGGACCAGGAACACCATCAGGAGCAGGAGCAGGGGCAAGAACGGGATCAGCCCCAATCGCAGCAGCAGCCCACGTGGAGTCAGGTGGTTGGAAGAACCCGCAAGAAGAATCCTCGCCCTCAAGCTCCAAGGGCGCAGCCCTCGTCGGCAGATAAAATCGCCTTGCTTAGGCGCAGGGCTCCAAAAACGGCCGCGGTCATTATTGACAGTCCGGTCGATGGAGGTTCACTTGCCACTCTTATGAAGAAGGTAGCCGGAGCAATTGACCTCAAATCCCTTGGAGTCAATGTACTCACCACGAGGAAAACTAGGACCGGGGGAATCCTACTCGAAGTTGTAGGGGCTGACAAAGCCGATCTCCTAGCTGATAAGATCCGGGCAGTGTCCGGTGATTCAGCCAGGGTTAGGCTCCCGGTACCCCGGACCCCTGTCCTGTTACTTGGCATCCCGGAGTGGGCCGAGGCTGATGAGGTGGCTGACGTACTTGCGCGCTCAGGAATTCCTGACGTCGCAGCCGACGAAGTTAAAATCTGGAGGAATACTGGCGGCCGAGCTGAACTCGTGGCTAGCTTGAGCCTACCTCTCAAGGACGCCATCGCGTTGGCGGAGAGTAAGGCAGTCGTCGTAGGGTGGACGAAATGCAGGGTCAAGTTCCTGGACAAACGCCAACCCACCTGCTATAGATGCCAGCAGAAAGGCCATCTTGCTGCTGAGTGCCAGAACGAGTCGAAGGCGCGACGCTGCCACAGGTGCCAAGGGGAAGACCATCTTGTCAGTGTTTGCACGCGCAAACAACAGCAGAAGCAGCCTGCTAAGACCAGGGATCCCCAGTCTCCAGCGTCGAACCGCGGAGAGACGGATTCGTCGGCTGAACCGCCGGTAGAGAACTCCGAGAGTCCCAAATGATGGAGTTAAGCTTCATTCAAAGCAACCTCAACCACTGTAGTGCGGCTCAAGATCTGTTAGCCCAATACATGGTTGAGGAGAAGATTGACGTCGCGCTCATAAGCGACCCCTACAGGATCGATGCCCACTCAACATCCTGGATCGCCAGCACAGGCACAAACAGGGCGGCTATCTTCATCGCGAGCAATGGAGTAACAATCGCCAACGTGGTCCGCGATCCCGAATTCATTTCCGCTCGACTCAACGGCGTGCAGGTATACTGCTGTTACGCCTCACCCAACCAGCCACTCGAAGACTTCGGCGATCTGCTCCAGCGGCTCGGGGACAGTATCAGATCCACCCAGCGAGGCGTTCCCGTATTAGTCACCGGGGACTTCAACGCCAGATCCGCCGCGTGGGGCGACTGGGTCGAGAACCGGAGAGGCCATGAATTGAGTTCGCTGGTCGAGTCCCTCGATCTCGTTACCTTGAACGAAGGCTCCACCCCCACCTTCCCCAGAGGCGCAGGATCAATCGTAGATGTAACCTTCGCATCGGAGACCCTGGCAATCCGAGTAAATAACTGGAGGGTGCTGGAGTCGGTGTTCAATTATAGTGACCACCACTATATCCGCTACTCCCTAGCGCGAAACAGAGAAAGCCCTTCCCCTGCTGCCTCCAATACCTTCTGTGGCTGGGAAACCTCTGGGGGAATTGACAGCAATTCCTTCCTAACTGGAATGCTGCTTGCCGAGTGGCTTGAGCAAGGCATCGGCCAAGACAGACTCGACGCCGATTCAGAAGCCGTAAACTTGCGCGCAAGGGTAACGGCTGCATGCGATTACGCACTACCCCCCCCGACGAGCTCCCAGAGCGGGGAAGACCCCAGTGCACTGGTGGAACGGGGAGATTAATTCGTTACGCGCGGATTGCGTGAGGGCGAAACGACGGAAGGTCAGAATGGTGGCCCGTATTGCCCGGCTCCGCATGCGCCCCCCGGCTGACTTCGATCACGTACGAGCAGAATCTGAGCTCACCAGGACCAGCGACGAGTTCCGCGAAGCCAAGAGACAGCTAAAACTGGCTATACTGCAGAGCAAAAAGAGATGCTGGAAGGAGCTCATCTCCTCAGTAGACGCGGACCCGTTTGGAAAACCTTACAAACTGGTAATGAGGAAGCTGAGGGGACCTCCAGCGACAGCCTCGATGGAGATGCAGACACTGAGAAATGTTATCGGAACGCTGTTCCCAACAAACCCAACCAGCAGTTATAGGGACCTGCCCACCTCTGAACCCCCAGTCCCTTTCTCCACGGACGAGGTTAATGCGGCAGTCGAAAGGGCACGTAGCAAGAATAAGGCACCAGGGCCTGACTGCATCAACAGCAGAATCCTAGCGGCAGTACACAAAGCCGACCAGCGCATCCTAGTGGAACTTTTCAACAAATGCCTTCACCAAGGAACCTTCCCGCTGGAGTGGAAATCTTCCCGGATTGTTCTCTTAAGGAAGGGCATCAAACCTGAGGGTGTCCCGTCATCCTATCGCCCGCTCTGTCTCCTGAATGACGTGGGGAAGATGTTGGAGTTCCTTCTGACCCGCAGGCTGGATGACCACATTACCTCGATGGGCAACCTGTCGCCGAACCAGTACGGCTTCCGGAAAAAACTGTCAACTGATGACGCGGTGCGCACACTACACTTTGCCATCGTTAACGAAGTAAACGATGGAAAATTTTGCCTTGCGATCAGCCTCGATATAAAGAACGCATTTAACACCATCAAATGGCCGGATATAATGGCAGCATTGGCGAGCTGGAACGTCCCTTCCTACTTGCGCCGAATGTTCCAGTCTTACTTCACGAGCAGGGCTGGAACGGTTTCCACCAGCTGCGGAAGCATGGAGGTCGAAATATCTGGAGGCGTACCCCAGGGATCCGTCGTTGGTCCCCTCCTCTGGAATGCTACGTTCGACGATGTCCTCAGATTGCCTCTACCCCAGGGAGCGAAGTTGCTTGGATTCGCGGATGACACAATGTTGATGGTCTCGGCCAAGACTATTGCCCAGTTGGAAACACTGGCTAACAATGCTCTGCAGCTTGTAGTGGGCCGCATCACAAACCTCAGCCTGCAGATTGCAGCGGACAAGACCGAGGCTGTACTACTCACTTTGAAGTACAAGTATGAGACACCAATAATCAAGATCGATGGGAAGACAATACCGATTACGAAAAAAATGACATACCTCGGTATAATCATTGACAGTTCCCTGTTCTTTAAGGAACACTTGAAGGCGGCATCTGCAAAGGCGGAAATGATCGCCACGCAGTTGTCAAGGATCATGCCGAACGTGGGCGGTCCGCGGGAGGACAGGCGCCGTTTGCTGTCTTCGGTCGTCCACTCAGTGCTGTTATACGGCGCACCGTCTTGGGCACATACCCTCGACCTGATCCCTGGCAATGTGAAGCTGCTTAACCAAACTCAACGGAAGATACTTCTCCGCCGCACCTGTGCCTATATAACGGTTTCAGGTGCAGCGGTGAACGTGCTGGCGTCAACTCCACCAGCTGACCTATTGGCTAGAGAACGTGAGACCGAGTTCCTAGCAAGACGAGGGGGGCGAATTGTTGCAACCAAAGAAGAAACCAGAAAAGTAACTATCGCAAAATGGCAGGCGAGATGGGATGCAGTGAAGGCGGATGACCCCGGAAGCTGGACGAGGAGACTCATCCCCGACTTGGCGACATGGTGTTCGAGAGGATTCGGCCTGGTCGATTTCCATTTGACCCAATTTCTCTCCGGTCATGGTTGCTTCGGGTTTTACCTCTGCAGGATCCGGAAAGTAGAGCAGCCGCACTGTGTCGACTGCAATGACCCTCTAGACAACGCCGAGCATGCGGTATTCAATTGCGACAGGTGGTGGCGTGCACGGGCTGAGCTGGAAGCCGAACTGTCAGTCGAATTCACTGCAGAAACCGCCATCACAGTGATGCTGAAATCAAGGAGCCACTGGGCTTCAGTGGCCAAACTCGTACACACTATCCTGTCCACCAGAGAGAAGGAGGAACGAGAGAGACAGCGTGAACAAGCAGCGGTAATTTAAAAAACTAGTTAAGATTTCTTTATTTGTGGGCCGAAGGCCAATTTTCACGGGAGGGTTAGAGGCCCTAAACGTATGTAAAATGTAATTATATTGTAATTGTAACATTATTATATATTGTACATAATAAACGATGCAGGGGAGCTGGCGAATTGCCCCACCAGGTATTTCCGGCCCCTTGCGATACCGTCATAAAAAAAAAAAAAAAAAAAAGGTTAGGTTAGGTTAGGTTAGGTCCCCCCCCGACGGGACCCACCTTGACGTGGTGGGGGGGCTCACCGACTTCGGTCGGTGCCAAGAGGTACCCAACTCCCCGGCTCCGACCTTAACCAGTCGGAGTCGGAGCCTCCAGAGCCGCCTCTGACCTTAACTGGTTGGGGGCGGCAGGTCTGGTCCACCTGCCAGCACAAGCAAACGGCACCAGAGCTGGCCCAGACCCAATACGTTGGGGCCAGCAGGGTCGGTCCACCTTCCACCTACAGAAAACGGACCCAGATGGTAACTGCAAATCCCCCAGAAGGAAACTGTAAATTCCCCCCCTGGCGGCAGGGCAAAAACGCAGGCTAGAATTTGCCTAAAAAATCAAAGATGGATAAAAACGCCGGTAATTTACCCCTGACCAAGGGCCCCACGGATTCAGGGGGGGGCCCGTCCATAACTGGAAACAAGACTGAAAAATTGGAAACTGGAAATAACGATAAAGAAGGACACGGAACCACACAATCACCAATATGTCAAATGGCGAGCGGAAGTCAACCCGCGAGTGCTGACATAATAGCTGTGAATCAAGAGACTATAGAACCCAACAGCCTGTACTCGGCCATGGAGAACCTCGTAAAATGCTTTAAAACACAGGAGAGTGGCATCAAACTGTTAATGAACGAAATTTTGAATCTGAAAGCCGCGCAGACGCTGACTAGAAGCGATAAGATTAAATCGTGCATAGAGGAAATCTATAACATGTCGAAAAAAGTAGAGACAAGTAGACACGAAACTATAAGAGCCTTTAAATCTCTCCCACTAATAACAAGGGACATGAAGCTAACGCAGAAAGAAGAGGAAGTTAGGGAGAACCAAATCCCCCCAAAGGAGACAGTCGAAGCATGGACAACAACTCCATGCTGGTGGGACATGGACCAAACCCCACGCAGGAAACAAACATGGAGTGAGGTGGTTAAAACCAAAGGGAATGGGAAAACTACCAATCATGCCACAGACAATAGGAGCAAAGAGGAGAAAACATCAGAGACCAATCGCACAAAGCCTCCTGAAAACCAGGGACCGCGGTACACTAACAAGAGCGACAATAAGGCCAAGCGAAGAAGACAAGCCAAGCCAGACTCAATCGCAATCAAGCCGGGCGAAGGAGAGTCAAGCGAGAGCATTTTATCAACGATCAGGAAAGAAGTCAACCTTTCACAGATAGGCGTCAAGGTGAAAAGCATTAGGGAAAGCAGAGGAGGAGAACTCCTAATACAATTAACCAAAGACAACGAAAAGAGAAAAGAACTGGGAGCAGCCCTTAAACAAACGCTGGGAGAGAAAGCCAAAGTTAGAGAACTCATCCAGTTCTCGGAAATAGAGATCCTCGGACTAGACGGGATAACCACGGAAACTGAAGTACTGGACGCTCTGAGATCGGTTGGAAAACTAGCAGAGGAAGATACGAGCGTCAAGATCAGGAGCCTCAGGAGGGGACTTGGCGGCATGAAGAGAGCGACAGCAACCATAAGAACATCAGATGCGAACCACATCGTGGCAGCGGGCAAGTTAGAGGTAGGCTGGGTAAAGGCGAAGGTAAGATTGAAGGTCAAAGCCACGAAATGCTACAAATGCCTATGTTTCGGTCACACGAAACATTCCTGCAGGGGACCAGATAGAACAAGCACGTGCAGCCTCTGCACAGAAGAGGGACATAAATCTGTGGACTGCACAGCCAACCCGAGATGCACGGCCTGCCTGGACATCGGGGAAGAAGCGGGACACTACTCGGGAAGCAACCGCTGTGTCGCGCACAAAAGAGCTCTTTTCCCCGGCACTGGGAAAACAACCGGCGGAGCACAAAGCACTCAGGTGCAAATAGAGGCAGATCGGCCAAACATCCAATGACTAAAATCCTGCAGATTAACCTACGCGGCTCACGTGTTGCACAAGACTGGGCATACAACACGGTGACGAACAGAGGAGCAAGCATACTTATTCTATCAGAATATTACAAATGCAACGGGACCGACTGCTATAGCGACACAGACAAAAGGGCGTCAATAGAGCTCGTAAGCAGCTTATCGATACAAGACCTGGGCAGGGAGGAACCAGGATTCCGATGGATTAAAATCGGCGGAATCAGGATATACTCCTGCTACTGGTCACCGAGTACCAACATCAAACAATATGAAGACTTCATACTTAGGCTCGAACTTAGCGTAAGGAGCGGACGAGGCGAAGTGATAATAGCGGGGGACTTCAACGCACACAACACGGAGTGGGGATGTCCCAAAAGCAACAAGAGAGGGGAAATTCTCTCAAATATGATACATGCCCTCGGACTATCCATATGCAACAAGGGAAATGCACCGACCTTTCAACGGGGAGCCTCGACGTCGATTATAGACTTAACTCTAGCATCACCAGAGACCGCTGATAGAATACAAAACTGGTCTGTCCTGGACGAAAGCACACTAAGTGACCACAACTATATCGAGTTCACAGTAAAACAACAAGCAATCGAGTATTCTCCGCCGACCGTCTATAGAACGAACATAGGAGAACTGGAAAAAGCCATAGAGGAAGGACGCTTCGAGGTACCGGAATCTGACAACATGGACGCGAACAAATGCTCAGAGGCAATAGTACGAGCAATTACAGAAAAATGCACGACCACGATAGACCCACGGGCAAAACGCCGGAGATCAGTGCACTGGTGGACGCACGAGATTGCGGGCCTACGCAAGGATGCCAACCACGCCAGGAGAGTATACCAGCGGAAACTCAAGAAAAGTGGAAGGAGGGAATGTGCGGCCGAGGAAGAAAGGGCGAAGTCAACAAAACTAGATCTGGTAAAGGCAATAAAGAAGAGCAAAGAACAGGCTTGGAAAAGATTATGCGACCTGGTAGACCGAGAACCATGGGGAGCGGCATACAAAATAGTGATGGGCAAACTTCAAAAGAAGAGGCCGATTCCAGAGCTAACAACACCAGGGAGACTGGACAATATCATATCCGGACTGTTTCCCACCCACGGAGACCGCGAAAAGACACAGTGGCCAAATGAGTGCCAGAGACAAGCGAAATCTGAGGCCATAAGACCAGGAGAACTGGCCACAGCAGTCTCATCACTGAAGAGGAACAAAGCTCCCGGCCCAGACGGAGTGACAAACGAGATGGTGAAACTGGTAGCAAGGAAATTCCCAGAGATGCTTCTGACAGTATACAACAAGTGCCTGTTCGAAGGAAAATTTCCGAGAAAGTGGAAAAAATCCCGCCTAGTACTGATTAGAAAAGGGGACAAACCACTAGACGATCCGTCGTCATACAGGCCAATATGCCTCCTAGACTGCTTGGGGAAAGTGCTCGAAAAAATTATGGACAATCGTCTGAGGGACATACTAGAACGGAACAGCGGGTTGGCAAACTGCCAATACGGCTTCCGGAAAGGGAGGTCCACGATAGACGCACTGAACAACTTAAAATGGATCGTGCAGGAAAAAGGGGCAAGAGGACGAACCGGCGTGCTGACAATGGACATAAAGAACGCATTTAACTCGGCACCATGGCTGGAAACTATGAAAGCCCTACGGGGCAAAGATATTCCGTTATATCTATGTCGCCTGGTGGACGACTATCTGTCGGACCGCAGTATTATATATGAAGCAGACTAGCAAAAAACAGAGGTAAAGCTGTCGAGCGGAGTGCCACAAGGATCAGTCCTAGGACCAACACTCTGGAACATTCTGTACGATGATCTGCTGAGAGTACCATTGCCGGAAGGAGTAGAGTACCTCGCATTCGCTGACGACGTGGCTCTCGTGGCAACCGCGAAAGAAGCATACGAGTTGGAGGGAAAACTAACAACGGCAGCGGAAAAAGTGAGCTCCTGGCTAGAGAGCACAGGACTAAAACTAGCGGCGCACAAGTCCGAAGTGGTAGTAATTACGAGGTTTAGGAAGCACAATGCAATAACAGTCAACATAAAGGATACCCAGATCAAATCCAGCGGCAGTATCAAGTACCTTGGAATACAGATTGACGCCAAAATGATGTACACGGAGCACGCAAAGACAGCAGCGACCAAAGCGGGTAACACACTGTGCCACCTGGCGAGGATCATGCCGAACCTGAGTGCCGCGAGGCAACACAGGAGAAGGCTGCTAGCAGGCGTAATCCATTCCCAACTGCTTTACGGAGCCGAAGCATGGGCCGAGGACATGAGCCAGGAGGGATGGAAACAACTAGGAAGAGTGCAGAGGAAAGCGGCGCTAAGGGTTGCCTCTGCATACCGCACGGTATCAAGAGAGGCAATCCTTGTAGTATCTGGGATAATTCCCATCGACATTCAGGCAATGGAGAGACGGAGGTCCTATGTCCAGAGGAGAGGATTACAGGAGTCACCCGAAACAGAAGGAGAGCCACAGCAAACGGCACTGGACAAATGGCAGGACAGATGGGAAGCTACAGAGGAAAGAAATTGGACGCGGCGTCTAATCCGAGACGTCAGAGTATGGACCGGTAGAAGACACGGGGAAGTCGATTACCACATAACACAGGCACTTACAGGGCACGGCTGTTTCGCAGAGTACCTCCACAGGTTTGGTCTGCTAAACGAAGCCTGCTGCTGGTTCTGTGGACATACGATCGACGACCCAAACCACACATTTTTCGAATGCGATGCATGGCATAATAGGAGAAGGGAGCTGAACATGCTCATCGGAGAAGAGGTGAACGCGGAGAACATGGTGAGCAACATGATCCACTCGAGGGGCAGATGGAATGCAATAGCCAATTTC